TCATTTACTAATTTGTTATTGATCTTGGTTTCTTAGCTTTATATAATGGTTGGGAATAAGATAATAGTCTAGAAATATGTATTAATGCTTTTTTTATCATTTTACAAAATATCATTGCATATTTCCACATATTTCATAATATTTCCACAATGTCTCTAATTTTTACAATATTTCCCCTCGACATTTCCGACATATGCCCTATATTTTGGTAAGCGACATTTCCATCAACATCGACATTTTAAACCTTGGTCCAGAATAAGGCAAATGCTATTATCAAGTTTGAGGATCACAAGCAACAATCTAGATATTCCACCAATCATAAAGTCCAGGAGTCATCTAGAAGGGTCTAGTTCAATGTTTCATAATGATCCATGCTCATACCTTAAGTGACAACTCTGGCAATAGAGACTTATTGTCCCTTCTCATAAGGCGGCAGTTGCATGTCAACCTTGTCAGGCTAAACTGTCATGAGTTTAGTAACTGGTTGAGAACCTTTTAGTCTACATTCTGATTATGTCATGTCTGTAAGTGGTTCAAAGTTCAAACCAGTAATTGATCACAATCCTTAAATGCCAGAGCAAGGGGATTGATAGAAACAAGTATCCACGACATATGATTGTACAAATAAACGCTTATTCACGATAAAAGTGGTTTGCAGCATTTATTGGATTTCTAGGGCATACACTGTCCAACATTTCATTCCATGGTATGCTTGGCATTTGAGTCTAACAAGAACTACTTGCAAGAATAAATTTTGGTCTAAAGTTCTTTTCAAAACTGCCAAGTTCCATTTATCAGTTTCAACTTTCCAAAATTGCATGTTGTTTCTCAACTTCAGAATATCAACTAAGGTAAATGATATTTTTCCTTCTAGCATTTTTCTTGATTGCATATAACTTGTAGTTCATGTGTGAGTTGTTAAAAATGATTATGCAGGTTTAGTTAAGTCATTGGTTTTTTGTTACTTTTTCTGCTTACTTCTGTTAGTTTTCTTTTTTTTTTTTTCTTTTGATAATTTTGTACATTTAATGATGACAAATTTTTTATGATGGTTTTACAGGTTGTTGTCATCTCGGGTGAAACTGGTTGTGGAAAGACCACACAACTTCCTCAATATATTTTAGAATCTGAAATAGATGCTTCCCGTGGAGCTTTCTGTAGTATTATTTGCACCCAGCCTAGACGAATATCTGCTATGTCTGTTTCTGAAAGAGTTGCTGCAGAGAGAGGGGAGAAATTGGGTGAATCTGTGAGTTTCTTCTTTTAGTGATTGATTGTTAGAGTACTTATTCCTAAACAACATAAACATTTTCATCCTTGATGSAAATTGAAGAATGAACTTATTTTTTCATTTTCATTTTTGAAAGGTTGGATATAAAGTGCGACTAGAGGGTATGAAAGGAAGGGATACGCGCCTCCTATTTTGTACTACAGGCATCTTGTTGAGGAGGTTATTGGTTGATAGAAATTTGAAAGGTGTAACTCATGYCATTGTGGATGAGATTCACGAACGTGGAATTAATGAAGGTATTCATAGCYTTAATTCATGCTATGCTGTTGGATWTGTGTTATTTGAATTCTTACCATGGCCTGGGTCAATGCCAGATTTTCTGCTTATTGTCCTAAAAGACCTCCTTCCTCATCGGCCAGAACTGAGATTGGTTTTGATGAGTGCAACCTTAAATGCAGAAATTTTCTCATCCTACTTCGGTGGGGCTCCAATGATACATATTCCAGTAAGTTTGAGATGCTAAGAAGCAATGCCATTTATTTGTCAGAAGCAACATATCACATTGTCATAGTAAAGTTTGCTAAAATGATTATATAGTTTTTGGTTTTCTGAATAGTTAAGAGTTTTAATACATGCATACATGTATGTATATGTGCGCATTTTTGTGTCATGGTTCTTTTTTATCTTTTAGAGCTTGTCATTGAGAATTCCAGATTCTCCTAATAATCACAAGCTCCTTATCTTCCTAATGCTCCTACCTTTCGTATTCCCAAATTCATTATCTTCTTTGAGCTCCCAACTCTTCATTTTCCCCTTCTMACCTGCATTCATTGAATGCTAAGCCAGCATTATTCCTCTTGCTACTATTGTTCTGCTCTCTAACAAAGATATGCCTGATCTTCCCTATCAA